TCTACGTCTCAAACTTGAGGTTTTCCTTTTCTGCAACTAACAAGCCAGAGATTTAAAGGTACAAAGTCATGAGGACTGCTCAGAAATACATAAGAAGCTAAATCTGCACATTGTTCTCCTATGGCTAAAGTGTGTTACCCTAAACTTTTGTGAGCAAAATTTGTGATCAGATGTTTGTTAATATAACACAGCACAATAGTGAAAAGCCACRTGGGAATGAAAAATCTGGCATTATAGATGAACTAGTACATATTAACACTCATGTTTGTTAGGTTAAGTATTCCAAATGTTTTTTTAAATAATAATAATTGAAGCAGACTAGAATACAGAATATATTTTACCGATATTTTTAAAAACATAATGAAACAAATTTGTGCTTTTCAAAATATTTCATTCTGAAATGTCCTGTCATATACTGTAATTTTATTGCTTATTTACTTCTATCCTTTATTGTAACACTAAAGATGTTCATCACCATATGAAAATATGCTGAAATGGTAAATTTACGTTTATCAGACGTTTCACAAAAGCCATGTGTTTGAGTGTTGAACATTGTCTTTATGGTGCTACACCTCTTTGTCTTTGATTTTTATTGTTGTCATTTGTGTTACTTTATATTTCTCTGTTCTTGTAAGATTCGCTCGTAAATTACCACCAAAGCGTCTTGATTTTTTGCTCGTTCAGTCGCACCACAATATATAGGTCAATCATGTTCCACTCAAGTGTTAAAACACAAAGTAAAACATACCCAAAGGCGTGTCTGGAATATTAACACAGAAAAAAAATCATTTATATTTAAAATCTGCATTTTTAATTAGTGAACGACCCACAAAGTGTAGAGATCTTTAAATGTTACGTAACTGTCAGCGATGCACTCAAAGCTCTGAATAAATGTGCAGGTTTTGAGAAAGCAAGTGTTTAGAAAACTTTTCTGTCGTCTCTGTAAGTTCCGCCTGAGCAGAAGGCCCGAGGACGGGAAGGACGAAACAAAATATAAAGTCGCTGCTCGACAGCGTGGCGAAGTCGGATCTTCAAGGGCAGATCATGTGTGCAGCTTGTTCTTGGGTTAATATTGACAAGAGACGTRCAAGTGAACGGAGGCAAGGAGAAGCTGCACGCTCGTCTGCAGCGACAAGAAGAGAGGATGGGAAATACGAGCAGATGTCCGGGGAAATTAAKTATCRAATAAGGCAAAAAGGAAGGGAAAAGGCGGGCACTGATGTTTTCGTTATTGTCTCTCAGCAGGGCCGGTCCTAGCCAATGTGGTGCCCTATAGGCAGGATTTCAGGTGGCACCTTTTGTACAGTTTTCCAAAGCTCATACATTCACACACCAAATTAAATAGTTTTGTCTTTGCCTGCTTTTAAGAAAACCCTCTTTTCAATGGCTTTGAACCAAGCATGAGACCTTGTTCTGTTTTAGCTGTTTTGCTAGCTTTTGTTGTTTTTATTGTTGRTTTGTTTTCTTGTTTGACCCCTATGTACAGCACTTTGTTTCAGCAGCGGCTGTTTGGAAGTGCTTCATAAATAAAGCTGATTTGATTTGATATTATTGTTTCTCTTCAGAAACTAGGTTGTCCGATTAAAATAGTTAACAATACAATTCCTTTGAAACAGAATACCAGAGGTCAACCTCACACCTGCCAACATCTGCTGACAGCAACGAGGAACACCTGTTCATTTAACCAGCAGCTGTGGACTGAAGCAGTTCTAGGGGGGATTTTTTTTTGTAAAAGATCTACTCAAAACTTTACCAGCCATTTGAAGAGCATTTTACTAAATTCTTGGGATTAATAAAACAACATAATTTTCTGAAGGTTGAACAACGAAAACCAGACTTTAACTTGAACTTTATTTTAGGTCATAACTGAAACTTTCWTTATCCTTATTTTGTTTTCTATTTACACACTGAGCACCAGTAGTTAGTCTTGACTGCATCATGTTCTTTTATCATGAAATACCCTCTGCACCTCTGTGTGTGTAGTCACAAAGCAGCTGAGAAATCCACAGAACAAGATAACTTCATAAACCTGAGTGACCAGTTATTAATCTACACACTAAATCAACTATACTCTGATAAAAAGTGATAAAATATATTTTTCCATCCCCCATTTGTGGGCCTCCTAGACGGATGATGCCCTTGGCATTTGAACATTTGCCTATGCTGCCACGGGCCGGTGTCTCAGTCAGTTTTACAGATATTGACCTAATATTTGATCAGGTAGCAGGGCTCATCTGAAGGCCAGCAGTTGTGAGGATGTAATCCTGTTTCTCTATCAGCTTCTCTGCAGTAAACAGGCCACAGTTAAAGAGGGTTTCAGGACAACACAGTGTTATCGCCAGAGTGCATGCATCATTCTGTCATCTGACATAATGGGACTGATTCTCCCAGATGAGAATACAGACAAGAAAACAAGTCTGTTCTCTTCAGTGAGACACATAAAAAACAGGCAGTAAAAGCTGCTGCTTCTATCTACCTCAAACACCTTTACATAATGGCATCATAAAACCAACACTTTTTAAGAGCTTTAATGAGAAAACTTTGCAATTAAATTGTGCGACATGCCTCTCCGTGCACAGTGTGCTTACAACACCAGAGGAGCATGAAAAAGCAGCACTGACCAACACTTTGTTTAATTAAAGACACTCTTGGCTCTCACACGTGCCTTAAACACTTTGATGGAAATGTATGATCACTTTTGACCAATGGTACGAGCCCAACTCGTCTCCCCTGGGTCTAATTTATTGATGCGCCGGGATTTAACGCAAGCTTTTACTGTACCGGCGAAAGATTTTTTTTCGAAAGCTTTGATTTGTATCTTTTTTAATTTCCTGCCAAGTCGTCAGATTCTTTCATGCTATCCGTCTGCAACAACTCTGCTGGCCTCTCCTGTCATCGATGAGCCCGAAGTATGGAGTCAGATCATGCAGTTCTAAACTGGACTAAGAGCTTTTTGTTGTTGTTCTTCCTTAATGCATCGTGACCTGTGGCTATACTAAGCTGGAAATCCATGCAGTCCATCCCTTATCGTGAACTTGACTCAAACATTMTTGAGAACTTTTTAAAGTACGTTTTTAAACAAACTTTGCAGCCTTTTGCTGAATCTGAAGGACATCAACGTGGCCTTCGGTATGAATGTTGGTGTGATTTTTAATCATTACACTTTCTTTCATATTGTTAACATTAAAAACATCTTGTCTCTGCTGCCGTCTTTACTCGCTCTACTCTCCATGCACGCAGTAGCTGCTGCCATTAACCCGTGTTGAAACCTTGTGTGTTTGTGTCTTTTTCCTGTTTTCTCAAACCCGAGCTCGTTGAAGYCTGGTTCTGCTGAAGGCTCCTTCCTGTTAAAAGGGAGGCTTTCCTTTCCACTGTTGCCTCCATGTGTGCTCAGGTTAGGAGATTGTGACACAATCTCCTGGATAGTTCATTTTTACTAATCAGCATTTTATGATGTCCTCCATCCATCCATTATCTAAACCGCTTCATCCTTTCAGGGTCACTGGTGCCCATATCCAKCAGTCACWGWGCGAGGTGTAGGGTACACCCTGGACAGGTCGCAAGTCCATCACAGGGAMACATAGAGACAAACAAGACAAACAACCATTCASTCTCTCACTCTCACCTAGGGACAATTTAGAGTTATCAGTTAATCTAACAGTCATGTTTTTGGTCTGTGGGAGGAAGCCGGAGTGTCTGGAGAGAACCCACGCATGCACGGAGAGAACAAGCAAACTCTACCCAGTAAGTCCCTGGGTTTGATCCGGCAACCTTCTTGCCGAGAGGCATCATCTCTACCAACTGAGCCGCGATGCAATGTCCTGTAGGTGAATGTTTGTGACCCATCACATCAAATCAAGGATTAAGTCAAAAAGCTACAAAAAAACATGATTTTGGGAAGAAAAGTCTTAAATGTTTCTGTCATTTTCCCTGAGTGCTAGCAAAGCTTCTTTTCTTTCTTTAAATCTCAACATCCAACCACTGGAGTTTCTTCACTTAGAATAACACGAAAATAAGATTCAGACCAAATATCAATATAAAATATCATGATTAGGTCGACAAATCAAGGCTCTGGAGGCGCTCCTGATGTCAGGACGATCCAGGTGTCAAAACATAGCTTTAAAAACAGGAATCTGAGAATGCGCTGAAGTCGTTTTGATCAAATTTGGCTTAATCCTGAGTTTGAAGTGATGAGTATCATATGAATTACATTTAAGTCTAACCTAAATTACATTTTTGATTTGGACATTTTTGCATACTTATGCTGTGAATTGGTGCTTTAAAAATATGATCTGGATTGAAACAATCGTGCACATTTAAGCATTTCATCCCACTAACGAGTGCGGCAGTCTGCTGGAGTTAAAACACAGAAACCAAAAAGAGTCAGAGGAAGTTGGAGCGCACACGTCCTCCTCGGTGAAACAGACGCCCAGCTGTGAGAGCGTTCAACAGGCCTTCTTTGTCACCTCCTCTACCCTTTCTCCTCTCCCGCTTCTTGCATATCAATAGGTCACCTGAGACGTGAGCTCACAGCTTTTACTTCAAGTTTCATCATCACCAGACAGACATGACAAAATCCACATTAAGGACGCAACCAAAAAAAGAAAAAAAAATCCCCTTTTTCTCCGCTGACGATGATACACACAGCTATAACAGATAAAACTAAGAGCTCACGAGTTACTATTGTTTGTGATCCTGTCAGAAAGAATGAGCACACTGTAGCKCTCAAAGCTCTGGACTGAAACTACAATCCATAGACTTCCTTAAATCACCTTATGGCCTTAGATTGATTTCTGCTCTGCACTTAACGTCTGATAAAGACACTAATAGAGAGTTTGCAGACCTACTTTTCCCAAAGCCGTGCAAATCCCAATCCAAACAGAGCACAGTTCAAACATCGCCTCCCATGTTTATGCAAGCTCCTGTACAACAGGTTTTCTAAACGCTCACAACACATGTCACTGTCAGTTCACTAACATATTGTTCCCACTTTCCCACAGCATCCAGCCACCAAAGTGCCGACGTGCGACAGAAGCATTGGCACGCCGAGAGAAGCTCACTGGAGAACTCAGCCTACACAGAAACACACAGAGTGATAGGAACAGGAAGTGGCTGTCCGCTGCAAAAAAAAAAAAAAACAACAGAAATTGTAGAAATTTGTATTTGCCATGTGCAATTCGTCTTAGGACGGACAACATTCTCAGGAACAGAAGGAGACGGAGGAGGTGAGGGGTTCCTCTTTTGATATGTCCATCACTGAAAACATCAAACAACCTGCTCGGATGTTCCCTCTTTCTCCCTCATCTGCTCCTGCCTGTGCAGCATTCCTCTCCTCCTTCTCCTTCTTCTTCCTCCTCCACCACGGATGATGCCTAACGATGCCATACTCGCTCTTCATCAGTGACGCTAACCTTCTTTTCTCCCTCCTCCCACTTTCACCCCGCTCTCCTCATTATGGAATGAGGGTAACCAGGGCTCTGAGGGGGGATAAATTATTGTGAGGGAAAAAAGAAGAAGAATAAGAGAAACCAGTCTATCCTCCTTACCTTGAGAAGAAGAGAGCCTCTCTCCTCCAGGAAGGATTGGAAGCGAGCGTGTGCACATACACCCTAACGTGCACGGTTATCCAACCCGCTCGCTCACACACACAGCAGACCCATCGCTCTGCCTCGGCGATGATGAGGAGGGCTGGCTCTCAAGCCAGAGCACACTGCAGGCTGCCGCTTGCCTGGGAAAGCCTGACGCGTTCCTCCCTCCAGGCAGAAGCACACGCTGCCATCTCAAAGGCTCTTTGTTGGGCTCGATTCATGCCCGGCTCCCTGGCTGAGTGCTGCGCCGTGTGCCGGTGCCTGCTCCCAGGGATGCCACTGCACAAAGGAAGGACAAAGCCAGTGGGGGGAGAAGGCAGCATCCAGGAGGAGAGAATATTACATCCCAGTGTAGCTCCTTCCATCCATCCCCCCTTTTTTTCTCCTCTTCCTCTCAAGATCACTGTCTTTCCACACACACCCTCCCACCTCCCTCTCTCTTTATCTCTCCCCTCCTTCTCTGCCTCCTCCCACTCCCTCATTGGTCTGCAAAAGAACTCATCGCAGTGTGTATTTGTGTGACTTTGTGTGTGTGTTTTAAACTGGTTTCTGGTGACAGTAAGGAAAGGAGAGCTCCTCTACACCTCATCACCTGGGATACCTTTCATCCGTCTCCCCACCCTCCATCTCTCCTTTACACGACCGTGCAGATGCATTATCCATGAAACGACGGGGTCAGGGGTGGCAGATGGCACGCGGAGCCGTTGAGTTTGGAAACACATGACGAGCAATCCTCGTCCCGTTATCACAGTGTCGCCTGAAATTCCTCGCGGATGAAAATRCAATGCTTCACCTCTTCTCCAGAACTCCTGCATTCACTTGATTTAAAATGTTCCCTTTTCTTTTTTACCACAATCGTTCCCTGAATAATTAATACAGCATCTAGGATGAGACTCAAAGCAGGGGGGAAAATGTATTAAGGTCAAGTCGTGCGGAAATTGCCTGCAAGAGCGAGTCAAAATTGGGGCATCCATGTAGTGCATGGCATTTTGATAAGAGACGAGTTGCTGAAAGGAACTGAAATAATGATGCTGCTCCTCCTCCTCACACTTTAGGATAAAGCAAATAAAAAGAGCTACAGCTAATCGGTCTGCAGAACAACAAAAATAACTGTTGGGGGTTGTCAGATGCTCTGTTGTTTGTTATTATGTGGATGCTGACTCAGCATTTTTGTTACATCTCGGCGTCAGTCTGACACATTTTGCTGATTTAAACTAGCCTTTGTCTTTTTGTAGCTTTTATTCTTAAGCATAACATTCTGCTACTTTAGCCTTTTGCTACTTTTAGCTAGAAGTTAGCTCTTATAATTTAACCTTTTGTTCCTTTACATTTCCTCAAGCCTTTGGCTAACTTTGACTGATTTATTTGGTACCATAAAATTTACTTCAAACAAAAAGCAAACAAATATTTAACACTAAATGACCAAAAGGGAAGAAGCATACACCAATGGCTTCTTGTGTTTCACTTATGTCTAATGCATTTCCCAAAACACAAACTGCACAAAAATCACGCAAACAAAAAGATGATGAAAAAAGCACTAAACAGAACATCAACACTCAAATATACAAAACAACTTCCTCCCTAAATACTCCATTTTATACATACATACAAATCATTACCATTTATTACCAATAATTACAAAAAAATAAAAAATTACAAAGTTTAATCTCGTCTAGAATATTTCTATGATTACATTTAACAGATTTTCATATTTTACCATCATCATTACAAACTACAACTCATTAACTTACTTTTTAACTTCTTTCTAAAACTTAAAAGAAACACTAAATTATTCCACAATCTAACATCTAAAACTGAAACATGTCTGTATTTGACATTTATTCTCACTTTACCTAAATAAAGAACCCCTTAAAATATAATTATTTTCCCATAACTTCAAAAAAATCTTTGAATCCCGTTCAAAGGCAGGTCTAGAATTTTTCTGAGTAAGGGGCCGTTAAGGGGCCACAATATTCATGGAGAGGCCAAGTATTTGTTCAACATCCCAGCACTCAAATCCCTGGTTTTGGTAAGTTGTTTACATTTTACCAGTCACATGTCCAACACTTGTAATGTCATGTAATTTTAAAAAGCTTGAACAGTAAATTATCCTTGGCAATTTTACATGTATTTTTACTGTATGTAGATAAGAAAATCCAGCCATCATTTGTCAGTTGAAAGACTTTCTGCAGATTATTTAGATTTTCTTAAGAAAAGAAGAACATGTCTGTAAGTACTCACTCTGAATCTCACTCAGGAGTTACACCTCCCTTGGTCTACCCCCCATTTTCGCATCACACATGATCTGCTTTTGATGCACAAATTACAATCATAATATAACTACATGTCAGACTATATCTGTACACTCAACTGTGCAATATTGTATGTTTACAGAATAAGTTTATTGTGTAGTGCAAGTCTTTTCAATTTTTTAATTATTTTTTGTCTATGAAAACTTCTTTTGTCTCTTTATGTTTGTATATATTGTAATCTGCATACAAGTAGGAATTCGCACCCGAGTTTTTCTACTCACCTGCCTGTGCTTATGTGATGTGACAATAAACTTGATTGATTGAATAACGCTGGACTTTCCTGTTTGACTCATTAGCGCCACTAGTGTTTGGACATGGAACTGCATCCCCCATCACCATTTTCAAGCGAACGACAGATGAGTGACAGGACGGGACACTTCAGGGGTCCAATCAGATTTCAGCTGGGGCCAATGCCCCTGTGGCCCCGCCCCTAGAACCGCCCTGGATCTCATCAGGAACTGTTTCACTTTTAATTGTCACTATTTTAAAGATCTTATAAATAATGGATTTGTAGAATTAAAAAAATAAAACAGAAACAGCTTCATTTATTAATRTAATTGCTATTTTAAGTATTTAGTTTTAGCTTTTTGCTGCTATGGCTTTTTGCAACTTTATGGTTCTTCAGCTTGCTTCTTTTAGTAAGAATTAAGTATTTTAGTTTGTTAAGTTGCTCACATATGAACTTTAAACAAAATAAACCATAATGACTCAAGTATAAATTATAGTTCACCAAACAACTCACATTATTTTATTCAGTTTTGGGCACTTGATTATGTTCATTACAAGGCAAATTAATTTCCCATAATTATTTGTTTGCAAAAAGTATGGTGTCTGTTTGGGATGACACAAAGGAAGCTTTGTAACTAAAACTACTCTTGATCACGAGCATCTTTTTCTGCCGTTACCATTCAGGAATSTCCAGGAAACAATAATTTAAAAATCTTCTGCAGTAAAGATTTGTCTTTCAGTCCACTTTACTGTTTGTAATGTCTAAAAAGCGTTCCTAACCCTGCCTACAAAACTGAAACGTCCACGTCACTTGCTAATATGTCCTGATTTCCAAGAAAAAAATTAACATTTTGCTCACTTTGACTTTAAAGTTTAAGCAAATTTTTAAAAAATGTATATAGAACAGCTCAGACCTCCATATTTACTGTACCACCACTGAAATTATCTTTATCCAGACATTTTGCTTACCTTCGCTTTAATTTCAGATGTTGTGCACATAAATGTAGAATTTCTCCAGTGACATGATATTATGTAAAGACTTTAAATCTTTTATCGTGGTCAGTTGTAAGGCCTATCCACCCGGCTGGGAGGTGAAAACAGGAATTCATAAATAAATCTAAGACATTCTGGACGGTTCCAGCTTTTCCACTGGACTCCTTCAAATATTAGCGACGTAAAATTCCACATAAACCTGTGGTCCTTTGTATTCCCTCTGCTGACAGTGTGTCACTGCAAACCCCCACCCCAGTCATACTAAAAACATGCATCTCAAGTCACCAGTTACATAACAGACAAGTTTATTACACATCAGAAAGCTTGGTGGTGTCTACTTCTCAGAGCCTAAATTTAAAATGTATTTTTTTAAAGAATTTATCAAAAAAATTTGTTTTAGAAAAAGTGAATGAGATAAAAACTTTGAAAAAAGCTGCACACACAAAGCTATTCTAAAAAAGAGCAGAAGAGAGACAAAGACAAATAAAACAGACAAATAAGTGACAAACTGAACGACACAGCAGAGGCAGGACCTTTTTACCTTCAGCGTGCATRTTTTCTACAATAAACCCACTGGTGCTTGTAGTCTGGCTGTTAACGATACAATACTTCAGAACTTTGTGTCCTCAGTTTGTCTTCTCAACWAAAGACATATTTACAGCTGGACAACAAACTATACATGAACATGATGCTTGTAAAGAAAAGTCCTGTTAAAAATGAATGTTGAAAATCCTTCTAAAAATATTTTTTTCAGTGAGCTGGAGTCTCCTTCCTTCTGACTTCCTGCGCCATCTTTTTGAAGTGGCGTTCAGCACGCAGCTCCTCGAAGCAGAATTCGGTGGCGCCGCTGAGCAGCAGCTCCTTACAGTACATGATCTGCTCCTGGAGTTTTCCCGCTTCGGCCTCCTTGTGGTTCTGCTGTTGGTCCAGCAGTCTCTTCAGGGGAGTTTCCTCTTTGCTCGGCTTACGCGCCGACAGAACCGTGTTCACGGCCGGGTTGATTTTACATGGCGTCCTGCAGAAGGAGCACATGTTCACATTTACCTTACAGTGATATATAAAAATAAATAAATAAAATGATTGTAAAGTAAATTATGTAATCAACTGTAAAAACTGTTAACTGCCAGTTTCCTCCCAGAAATGTTTGTTTTGTTTGGAAATATTAGTTTTACTTCTAAGACAAGTAAGTAAGATATTTTTCTTCTCAGATCCAAAGAACGCTTGCTATAAAGGCATCTACAGTAGGGTTGGGCAAAATTGTATCATGTGAAATTAATCGTCAGAAAAACTAATTGATTATTTTTTGGCACCTGACATTATGATTAATGCAGCCAGGCAGACTGACTCGAGATTTCCCCGGTCAGCACACTTGGTGCTCTTCTCTATCTCAAATATGACGAACATTTAAAAATAAGTTCTGTAATTTATTTATCATAAATCTGGTTTTACTTGGTCAAATCAACACAATTTAAAGGGATCCATGATTAGTTGTAACATTAAACTTTACTTGATAAACACATACTTTAACTGTAAAATAAAGACTGTAAAAGTACTGTAGTATGTTCAGTTTTTATCATTTTTAAACTAAAAGTTTAAAAATATATTACACGGACGAGGCCATTTTATTGACACGCAAAGCATTCTGGGTAAATGATGATGTGGATATGTCATCGGTGCAAGGCTGCTAGCGAGCTATATCCACCCTGAAGGTTAATCTTGGACAATATCTGATGATCGACTCTTTTAAATGAAACCAGAGAGCGTTGA